ACATTCTGAACTTCAAAGAAAACAAACAAATAAACAACTGAATTAATGAGCCATGTCAGCTTGAGTTACATGTCTGTACCATGGTGCACTGTGAATGCACTGGCAATGTATCATGGTAGCCTATACATAAAACTACCATATCTGAAACATCACTTTACTATGGTACCGCCCAGTACTTTATAAAGATTTGTAACCAGCTGAAAAGAGAACATCTGAAGCAGAAGATGGGATATACAGTGGGTACGGAAAGTATTCAGACCCCCTTAAATTTTTCACTCTTTGTTATATTGCAGCCATTTGCTAAAATCATTTAAGTTAATTTTTTTTCCTCATTAGCTGCGCACATTCACATGTAATGCTGATTATTTATGCATATTCTTTACTCAGCAGCAGCGTGTGCATGTGTGTTTATGAACACTGTAGGACTGGCTACTAATGAGAAAGTCCTCCTTTACCAGAGCTGTAGTACAGAGTAATCTTCATCATTCATATTTCTTTACGCTGCACATTCTGATTACAGACATCAGTCAGCAACTCTTCCCTCCAGCTTCAGGTGCACCTTCTGTCTGTTCTCTCGTCTGGCTCTTTCGTTCTCTGCAACACTGGGCTTATAATCGCTCTGTAGTGTGGATACAACAACAGTGATTTCACATAACTGCCATATGTGCAAATGATGGGTTTTAACCAATCAGCAAACACATACACTCTATAGTTCTGGATGATATATGGAATATTCATGACATATTTGGAACGTTTTTGCTGGCAGGGAGCAGTGTCCTAGTGTGGCCTTTTTCAACATATGCAGATAAATACTAATCTTTACTACTCAGTGTTATATAGTGGCACATAGATAGATAGATAGATAGATAGATAGATAATTTTGTCTCATAAAAACATGAGTTTTACTGTTTTACTTCATATTAGGGCTGTGCAAAAAATCGAATGCGATTTTCATGCGCATCTCATCAGTAAAGCCGCTTCTGGTGATTAGTAGTAAATCTCCAGCACGTGCTTTCAGATGGAGCGGCATTTACTACACAGAGCCGTATGTTCACTGACAAGCTACACAAAATCGCGTTCAAAATCGACAATGAATCGCCTGCGATTTTGAACGCGATTTTGTGTAGCTTGTCAGTTTTTTTTTTTTTTCCCAGCCCTACTTCATATGTTAAACATTTCAGTGATAGATGGGTAGAAAGAAAGAAATCTATTGTGATAGATAATCTATTGTGCCCAGCTTGTGCAAACAGGCAGCTTTTACCAATCCACCATCACATACGCTTGCTCACACACACACACACACACACACACACACACACTCTTCTGACGGTGATTTTAGCTGCACTTAGTGTTAAATGTCTCCTGCAGGTGGATGTGGCAGGTAGCCCAGTGTGATGCTGAGGAGGGAGGTGTGTGTTTACCCTGCTGCAGTACACCACTGATGGAGAGCTGAGTAATTGATATTTTGCTAAAGTCTAACTCAGCTCAGTGGGGGACTGGGCCACTGCCAACCACTGGAAACTAAACCTATGTCATGGATCAGCAACTCCGTGTGTGTGAAACGCCAAAATGGAAATGGCATGTTGTAATTTCTGCCCACTGCCCTGTTATACGCATTAGCTGATCTTTGGAAAGGCCTTTTTAACAGCTTCAAGACATAAGCAGGCGAGCGGCGGGGAGAAGTAAACAGATGGAGTCTGTCTGCGGAGCATGTTTGCCGATAAGGAATGACTTTAGTGCGAGAAATACATTTGCAAATGTCTATGGGATAAAATTACCTGTCTGAATCACCTCATCTATTTGCATGCAGGGAAAGTGATGCTATATATTGGCTTTCTGTCAGGGGAGACATCTGTGTACAAATTTTACATTTATGTCACTTATAAGTTGCAGCGCTCTAGTTGACACTTCCTGTCATTTTGGGAAAAGATACCAAGAGGAGTTTTTCTTTTCCATGGTGGAGCATGCAGTGCATTTTCAGGAGATCTCGAAAAGGCCTTGCTCTTCTTGAGCTCAGATTTAGCATGCATAGCATCATTGCAGTGAAATCCCTTTGGGGGAGACTCTCTTTGGCATTCAGGTGAAATCATTTGTTATAGCAGCAAGAACGGGACTGCAAAACTCAAAGAAAGAACTGCAAAATTATATTGAATCACCATGTGTACTCAAGCCAGAGAAGTGAAACGAGACAAAATGAGGAAAGATGTGAAAGATAACAACAAATGAATAAAGATGAGATGATTCACAAACAGAGAAGAGAATAGAAACAGAATGAGAACAGAAGAGCAGAGAAGAGATGAGACAAGAAAAAAAAAAATTGATTTAATAACAGAACATGCTCAGAAAAGAAACAAGATGAAAATAGAAGAGAAGGAGAACGGGCTCAAAGAAGAGAAGACTTGATTATGCAATAAAACAAATGAATAAACCCTCAACAGAAGCAACATAATTAGTGATTTATTCTTATTGTCGTGTTGTGCTTTATCTTCATGCTTGATTAGAACCATGTGTTCCAGCATGCAACTGTCAATACACGCTGCTCAAATTTGAGAAAAAACACTTTGGTAACAACCAGCCAAGAAAATCTGCTAGTCTGTGGATGAGAACATTGAAGTACACAAAAGGACAGGTGAGAAATGATGCTCCCAAAATAATGAGATCACAGACGTAACACCTAACCTACAAACCTGATTCCTGCACAGGTTCAGCCCACCTGCTGATCCGTGGCTATGAACATTTAGTGGCCCACTTTCAACACACTTGGCATCGTATAAACCCACAACTTTCCTTCCTCTAACTGAATTATTCAATTCCCCAGATTACCGCGCAGATATATTACAATAGACACCCCGAGTTGTGCCCCGTGGTGCCGTGCTATGACTAGAACCGCCTTTATAAGGGGATGTTGAATTTCAGTGAGCTGTAACTGTGCACTAAAGCAAGCAGCCACATCGGCTCTTTGTCTCAGACCAGGGTTTGGACTGAGATTTATCACCATGTAGTATCAGCACCTCCATATTCCTCATGTTTGAACACGAATCCAGCTGCAGTGTACAGCATGCTCACATAATGACACATATCACCTCTATCTGTGTGTGTGCTGTAATCTACCGCAGGGTCACAGGGTCAGGCATGGAAAGATCACTCTATCAGAGCTGCAGGCACAGGTAATCTGCTCAAATGTGGCCTGAAATGAACTCGAATCTCGAAACACAAAGGCACATACGCACATAACTCTTACCGGAAGGCTTACCGAAAACAGAGGCAGCTATCAGAACGCTGCACATGTTCCAATCCTGTGGTAGAGTGTGTGTTTGTGTGTGTGTGTGTTTCTTCCCCTCACAGTCCTGTGAGATGGAGGGCTGATAAGCTTCATAACCATCAGCAGAATAACAAACCACTGAGAACAAAATGCCTGGTCTGGCTGAACTTCTTACAGTTTCCTTCAGTCAGCATGTACCAAGATCCCAGCGATCGAACAGAAAACACCGGTGAGAGGAAAGCAGGAATCATTTTGAGGAGTTTTTTGGTAAAATATTTTCAGATAAAGCCACAGTAAATGTAACCACTGTGCATCTCTGAGCAACACACGCTCAAATCAGTTGAACAAATCAGTTGAGGAAATAATTCAATGACTCACTCAAAAGAAAATACAGACATGTAAACGAATCAGCATTTTCGAACAAATTAGCTGAATGAATTATTCAATGACTCACTCATTAAGAGAGTCACTCTATTCATTCCTCAATAAATCAGTGCTTTGAATGAATCAGTTGAGTGAATGATTCAATGACTCACTCAAAAAGAGTCACTTGATTAATTTCTGAATAAACCAGTGTTTTGAATGAATTGGTTGAGTGAATGATTCAGTGCTTAACTCATAAATACAGTAATTTGATTAATTTCTGAATGAATGGGTGGTTTGAATGAATCAGTTCAGTGAATGATTCAAATGACTCAGTCAAAAAGACAGTGGCTGCGTCTGAAATTGCATACTCTAATGACAGTAGATACTTTGCCTACTATATAGTAGGGAAGTATGCATATTCGGATGCATCCAGTCACTTGATTCATTCATGAATGAATCGATATTTTGAACAAATTGGTGAATGGTGATGAATGAATGATATCATTGACTCACTCACTCATAAAGACAGTTACTTGTTGCCACCTACTGCCATAAAAATGTTACCTGCAGGAAAAAATTTCACTGAAAAATCCCCTCACAATTTATGTCCTATTATTATGTCCATTTTACTTCTGAAATGAGGCATATTTATGTGGGAAACAGACCGAATGGTATAAAGAGGGTGTTTCTTATAAGAATAAGAGCTGAATGTGAGTTTGCAGTGAATTGAGGGGGCTTTTTAACTTTGATGTGAAGGCTAAAGTTCAAGTTCCCAATCCAGAGCATCTCCTAGGTGACATCAACTGAAAAGGAATGTTGTTTTTGATGTTGCAAGTTATAAATTTTTCTCCCTTGCAATAACATGTGCTGAAGACTCATGTGCAATAAGAGCAGGGATGTGTATTAATAAAGTAAACAGCATCATTTTTCATTTTATGTTGACTTTAATCAGATCTTCCTGCTGCATTACAGTGTAGGTAACAGGGTAACTTCATTAAACCAGTAAATATTTGCCAAAGCTAATAGTAATTATATGAGGAAACTCAAAGTTAAAAGGAAACTGCCATGAAAGGCTCTTTGCATGACCCGCCCTATCCGAGCTCTAGTTAGTCAGACCACCTGCTGAATCTAACTTCAGCTCAATTCCTGTTTGTCATGTTCTCAGAATAGTAATTATATGAGCGCCAAAGCACAACACTTAACAAGAAACTGAATGTGAGAGAAACCAAAAATGCAAAAGTGTTTCTTTGATTTCACTTCTGCGCCATTCCTACACAATGCATGCAATGAATGGAGAAATAACTGCAGTTGGAAATCTTCATGAAGTGCTAGAACAATACTATGCTGTTAGAAAGAGAGAGTGTATTCTTACCTTCCAATACAGTGAGTTTAGCACTAGTGTTAATTTCTCCAGCGCTGTTGGTAGCTGTGCACTCGTAAATAGCCTCATCTCGATGTGTCCGTAATGGCTGGATCCGCAGCACGGAGCCTGAGCCGTCATCAAACTCTATTACCTGAAACACACAGGCCAGTCATATACCAGTCAAAGGAATAGTTTACCCAAAACGAATAAAATAAATAAAATAAACAAATGAATAAATAAGTAAATAAATTCACTGCAAGTTACTGCATGGCTTGTATTATATACTAGTATATATAGTATATTGTATAATATGCTTGTATAATATAGTGCACAAGTTGTATGAACTACTTTCATGGTGATTTTTTTGACAGTATAAATCACCATCCACTTTTCTTGTGTGGACAAAAACATTCTGGCTAACATCTGATTTTGTGTTTCATGGGGGTTGGTAAAGGATGATAAACCTGCCATTTTTTTGCAGTGCTAATTCTTGTTAATAAAAACATGGCAGAAATAGCAATTACCAGCCAAAATGTCTTGAGTAACAAAAAGTGATAATACCAGTTGGAAACGATCGCACTCACTCTTATATGACAGTGATGTTAAAGAGATCAGCTCCTGTACAGTATAAATTCACTGCATTGGATGTGTGAGACACAGAGAGTTAAAGTACGTGAGATGCCGGTGCTGTCAGAGCCCGTCTCGTTCACGCTCAATCAGCTCTGTTGACAGTGTGAGGAGGGTCGTCTCAGGAAGCCCTCATGCCGGGGCTGCCGTCAGCTTCTCTCTGTTTTTAGGTTGACTGCCAAATTGAGATCAACCTGCGCTCCCCTGCTGGAGCCCCGCACGGTCTACACTGATGTTGAAAACAAGCGCAACACTCCCTGGAATGAAATACTTCAGTTTGAGCTTATAAGCTTTCACAACAGAATAGCTTTAAAGGGGCCGCATTTTTGCCACAGTTCCGTAGCATCAATTTTCTTCACTTTTATATATTTAGTTAAGATTTCTTACATCAAAAACATTCACAATGTGTTTTTCATGATCATCTGTACCTTAAGCTGCTCATCAAGGCGGGCAAAATGGCTGAATATATCGAATAGGTGCTGACGTGTAAACAAGCTGTTAATGTGCTCAAAGTTAGCATCATAATTATAATTTCTGAGCCATTTTTGCAACTTAGTTTCAATAAATGGTGTAGTCCACTTGTATGCTGCACATACCAGTGGTGCCAGACTCTATGCTTTTGTTGCCTTGCTCTCTACTACTGTCTCCTAAGGCATCATAACGGTCATAAAACCTCAACTAGGACTGATCTTGAATATTCTACATCGGAAAAAAACTAGCAAATAGTTCTCCATAACTGAGTCTAGCTTTAGCATGTTGCTAAGTTAAAAACAATACCCTAATAAGCATACAACAGCACAGCAACCATATAAATACTGGGTATAGTAATAGTAAACTTTGTAATTAAATGGAGTTATATAACACTCTTTTAACACAATTTTAAGATCATTTCTAATCAATTTATCTTGCTTTCTAATGCTGCCTACTATTTGGAACAGTTTTATGAAGTCTGATTATGTGATTATGAATAATAATAATAATAATAATAATAATGATGATTATTATTATTATTACTACAGAAATAGCAATTACCAGATATGATGTCTTAAAACCCACTGATTCATCAGATTATTAATTATAAGAGGATTATGAATGCTGCTTATTTTGGCAGCTCACTAGATTTTGGAACAGAGTTATATAGAATTAAACATTAAATATTTATGATAATTAAAATAATTATATATTATTTATAATAAATTTAAATGAATTTATAATAAATTTAAATGAATAATTTATATGTAAATTATCATAATAATTGTTACGGGGCTGACAAGACGTGAGACGTGCGGATCCATGTGCAAGCTTTATAATCATAATAATATGATAATGAATGCATTATAAATATGATTATCATAAATAATATGCAAATAATGACTTGCACTCTGTGAATGATTCATTACAAAGAACCGATTCATAAGAATCATTAATTTGTAAATCAGACTTCAATATTTTTGTTGTGAAGAGATACAAAGATATGATAATTATAATTTTAATGAATTTAATTAATTTACTTAATCTTTTTTTTTTTTTGTATTCAATCATATTATATAAAACAGACGTAGTTACAAAACTAAGCTAAAATAATGCTAAAATCATGTTGCTATACGGTATATTTTAACTATGACCACTGTGTCCATGACCAAGACACTTAACATCAGTATGCTGTATGGATTATTCCTGTGATAACTACACTGCAAACTGATGACATCTTCATAATGCAGTCCATGTATTGAAAGCCAGCCAACACCACTGCTCAGATTCAACCCCGGGCATCAGCACACCTCTCTACTCTGGCCTGATACAGCCACAGAGAGGCTCATCTGGACCTGATGCTAATGCTGATGAGTTTATTGTGGCCTCTGTTATGCCCCAGACAGTCAGATGTGAGGTTTTTGGAGGAGTGAGCAGAGGAGGTCTGACAGGTCACCCTGCTCTCCGGCCAGTAGTAGAGAGCTCATCCCTCACTGTCCTGGCACTGATGCAGTCTTTGCCTCAGCTGGCACATTCAGCAGTGGTACAGTTGGCACTACAGGTGGCTCAGGTCTGCTGTGGTCACTTTAGGGTGACCGGATCTTGGACAGTCATCTGTCATGCTGATCTGCTTAAACCTTTTTTTGCACTGGCTAATATACTCTATATCTGTTCCAAAAACCATAAAATGTCTGTAATATCTGACAAATGTCACTGACACTGATGCAGTGCTCAGTAGATTAACTGTAGTCAGGTACTGATAGCAAATTACATGATAGAAGTTGTAGTTAGTAACGTATTCTATTGCATTACACGGATTAGGTGATATATTCTGACTACTTTTCGATTACTTTTGGATTACTTCTGACCTAACTTGTTTATCACATTAATTTGAATAGGATAATCTTGAACCATACTGATATAAAAATAGAAAGTGAAAGAAAAAAATATATTCCATTTAGCATGCAAATATATTAGGTCAAGCAGGTTTAGATGCATTTTTATTTTTAATGCATTTAAAGTCTTCCAAAGACATAGTAATGAAGTGTTAAAAAACTGATCAAATGCTGTGTGGCCGCACAATTTTCGGTGTAATTTTTTAATTTTAGTTTCTTATTTGAGTAATATTTCATTAAAGAATAATTTCATATTTACATAATAATAATAATAATAATAATAATAATAATAATTTTTTATTACATGGATAGTTCACCCCAAAATTAAAATTATGTCATTACAGTAAACTGTTTTAGTTACTATTGATGTTACTATAATTGTATGAACAACAACAACAACAACAACAACAAAATACTGAGACATTTCCTCCAGGGGGATAATTTCTCAGCCAAATTTGATGTGTGATTAATTAGTGATTAATTAGAATAATGAATCGCCACATTGTGTAATTAATTAGATAAAAAAATGTCATCACTTCACAGCCCAGTTCCAAATGTATATACGTAATAGGCTATTTTTTTTAGAAGTGAATATGTAAAAGATAAAAAAGACGAATTAGGGAGAATTAATACATTTTAAATAATTTACTGCCAATGTGTGAATAATATATAATCTGATTATGAGTATTTTAAAACACAATATAATCTAATTACAAATACAAATTTTTGGTATTTGATTACGTAATGTGGATTACATCAAATCAGTTACTACTCAGCACTGACATATACATCCACACTTTCTCAGCCAATGAGAAAACGAGTAATTGTGTGTGAGTTTTTAGAGTGGCAGAAGTAATGGGGACAGACTAACTGAGTGGCCAAGTTTGGCAGAATTTAATCTCTCTCAAACAGCAACTTTAATTTTCCAGTCCAAAAAGAAGTGCTGCATTTCTGTTATTGCCGTCAGCATTTTTTGGCCTTGCTGTCTAATTAAAAAATCTCAGTGACCACAGTTCTGACTGGGATCAACCCTGTGGTGCTCGCAGACTACATATGTAATTCAAGCTCACTGCACTTTATATCTTGGTCAGTTCAGCATAATCTCTGTTCAGGTATCAGCACTGCTGTATGAACTCAAAGAAACACTCGACACTCGGCCTGGTGCACTCTACAGCTCAGAGCGGGACATGATAAAAGCTGAAAACCCCTCACATGATCTTAAACAAAGAGTGCTGCTGTATAATATGGGATGCCTTGAAGTCATTGGTGAGGAGAAATGGTAGGACCTTTGTTATATCTGATTTAATGTTGTGGTAAAAGAACAGCTGGCAGGAAGCAGGTCGATCTCCCATATGATGCTCAACTTCACATCAACCCTGTGGTGCTCGCAGACTACATATGTAATTCAAGCTCACTGCACTTTATATCTTGGTCAGTTCAGCATAATCTCTGTTCAGGTGTCAGCAGTGCTGTATGAACTCAAAGAAACACTCGACACTCAGCCAGGTGCACTCTACAGCTCAGAGCGGGACATGATAACAGCTGAAAACCCCTCACATGATCTTAATCAAAGAGTGCTGCTGTATAATATGGAATGCCTTGAAGTCATTGGTGAGGAGAAATGGTAGGACCTTTGTTATATCTGATTTAATGTTGTGGTAAAAGAACAGCTGGCAGGAAGCAGGTCGATCTCCCATATGATGCTCAACTTCACATCTGATTAGAGCGCAGGCACAAAGAAAGCACATCTTATTATTTCAAACCCACCTCAAAGCGCTGAGAGCTGACTTTCTTGCCCTTCTTCATCCAGGTGATTCGTGGTTTGGGCTCTCCGACCGCCTGGCACACGAAGGACGCCACCCCTCCTGAAATCCCTGTCTGATCTTCAGGAGTCTTAATGAAACTCGGCATGCCTGCGATAGAAAGAGAGACATTAAGACACTTTTACAAATGCAGGGGGAAAAAAAATCACAGATCTCTTTAATATATCATTTGTTTGCTGTAGATAGCAGTTAGATAAAATGGAGAACAAATGGAGAGTTCATTTTTTTCTCCTCTCAGTAATCTCAAATGTTTTTCTTTTAGGGTTTCCAAAGTGATCTCAATAAATTATAAAAAAGACCAAATCATGAACTTTAATTTCATTAATTCATTCATTTTTTTATTTACTTTTATTTTAACAGAGAACTTCAAAGACCAAATCATGAACTTCACTATCGACTTTTAGAAAAATGTAATTTTATTTTATTTTATTTTATTTTATTTTATTAACTGACCAGTAGACAAGCCAGTAGAAATATGTATTTATATATTTTCTCAATTTACTCACCCTCAAGTCATTCCATATTATTTTCAACCTTGTATTACTTTCTTTTAAATTAAATACATTTACATGTTCATCTGCACTCCGATGGAGAACACAAAGCAAATGAGCAAAGTACATTGGAGAGTTTTGTCAGGAGTGAACAGCAAACTCAGTCCTGTTTCCCACACAAACTATCATATGACTTGAAAAGGATGGAAATATAGTGCATAAGTCATATGAACTAGCTTTGGAACACTTCCATTTTTGAAGCTTGACAATACACAACAGAGCCTTGAACATTCAGGATAAGAACTACTTTTGTGTAACCAGGGATATTATAGTTAACTAAAACCATATAAATAAATTTTTATTACTTGAACTAAAATAAATGTTAACTGAAATAAAATGAAATAAAATTGCTTTTATTTCAGCTAGCTGCCAATGCAACATTTCTCAGATAACCAAAAAAATAAAAAATGAAATAAAAACTACAATAATCATATATATATATATATATACACTTAATTTATAACATATTTTCCAACAAAACACTTCTGAAAAGTGACTCTTCTAAGGTGATTTTGCAATGCTTTGGATTTAAAACTGTGATTAAACTTGATGTGAATATAGCCTACTATAGCATTTCTCGACATTATGACATGAACTGAACATAGTTTAATACAAAACGGTCAACTTACCTGTTTGCCATGGCGTGTATTTACTTATTATTAAAGATTAAGTTATTTTAACAGTTTGTGTTGTCTTAATATCATTTTCAAGACAACCGTCTCGCGGCAAGTTATATTTCGCGTCGCGAAAGGACAAATAAATGCAATTTAAACGATACGAACACAAAGAGACTAGCACTTGCGTGTAGCCTACGCGTTTATATGTCTTCGTGACCCACTTTTAAACGAACCCGTCAACTTTGACTCGTTTTAACCGCTGTTGTACATTAGCCCTCAGAGATCAGATCAGCTCAGCGCGCGCTTCCCGCCCTGCGCGTCACGTGATTAACGTCGGATTAACCGTCGGTTAATCCGCGCGCAGCAGCCGCTGTCTCGCGTCTCCGGTGTCTTCGTGCGGGAGGATCCTCAGTGTTTTGAACGCAGACTCTCCGGTGAGTAACTAACAACTATTATATAGGTTAATGAAAATAGAAATGTATATATATATATATATAAAAGTTTAACTAAAATTAAAATGGAAAATTAAAAAATTATAATTAGTTCAAAATGTTATAGGTTTTACATATTAATATTTTTAATTTTTTTAAAACTAGTATCTCATTGATATTAAAATAACAATGTAATCTGAGCTGGAATGACATTCTTGGGTGATCTATTCCTGTAAGTCTCATGAGCTATGATGGAGCAATCGCTGAGCAATAAAACTGTCCTCGCTAGAAGCGTTGGAACAAAAGCAGCTATGTCTAAACTCTGCCTTGAGCTAGACCTCCAGGACGGTACAAGTAATGTTCCTCCATGTGCACTGGGTCACGTCCCTCATGGTGAGAAACAATAAATATGAGCAATATGAGGGAATTCTATTTCCCCTATTGCCTAAGCTCTCCGCTTGGCTGTACTCGAGATAAAAATAAACTCTTTATAAGCCATGAGAGCTTCATCTCCGAGGATGTATCAAAAGCATAATTAAATGCTCTGACAGAATATGTGCCATGGCAACCCAAACAAATTGAGCTCCCTGTCCACCACCATCCCCTGGTGAAAGTGTGCCTGTAGAGGAACAGAGAGCTGACAGGAACGTAATTAAAGATTCCAGCCATCCAGCTCACCGCAGGGAACAACAGATATATCATAACGTGCGCTGCCTGCTTTGTTTACCTCTGTCTCTTGCTACAGATGCATAATGCAAACTGCTGGCCTCGCTGGAGAGAACGTCTTCATCTTTTCTTTGGCAGGAACTGTCTTGGTGTGAGCATTAGATACTCCTTTCATTGAACATTTGACCAGTAGTGTAAAATAAATAAATAAATATAGTTATAAACTATATATATATATTTTTTTTTAATCTTTGAGAATAGACTTTTTGCCAGATCTCGCTAACTTCTGTTGACAGTTTTGTCTTTAAAATATAGTCTATATTTGTGTGTATATGTGTAAAATATGTATGTATCAAACCTACATGCGCATACACTCGCATATGGTGCATGCTGATTTTAAACAGAAACACAGTCTTATTCTGTCAAATCATATTGAAACATCCAATTTATAACATAGTTACTATGGTATTGATTATTTATTGGCTCAAATGAAAAGTCACACACATCACTAAATATGCACAAAATATGTTTTAAAATGAATTTTTAACGCCACTGTAACCATAAACTTGCTCCTAAAAACTGTATGTGATGAAGTGTGTGTCCG